GGGTGAACGGAAAACATTCGAGGAGTTCGGGGGTTGGGAAGCATTGGGGTATTGGGATGTTTTCATTTAAATACTGGGTGGGCTCGGGTTTCTTCAATTGGGGATGCTGGGTTGGAGGTTTCGGAGGATGTAATGGATTTCGATAAGTGATGAATTGTTAGTGTGTAGTGTGTTAGGGTTTTGAAGCTGTTGTTGTAAGGTGATGAAATTATCAAGCTCGTATTCTAATTCTTCGTTGACGGGGCTAGGGGGATCGGGTTGGTCGCTGGTCATTGGGGAGAGAACTGGGGTTATGTCGGTGTAGCAAGAAGGGGCTGGGGAAGGTTCATCGGGAGTTGGGTAGTCGAGTTGACGGAAGGGGGGTTGCGAAAAAGTGGACGGGCTGGGCTCGGAATTTGGAATTCATCTGGAGTTTCAATATCGGAATTGCTAATTTGTGAGATTGTATGAGAAACTGTATGTGGAAATATCATCAGAATCCATGCGTGGTGAATTATTAGTGTTTGTTGGTATGTGAGAAGGTGTGAGATCAGAGATTGATATGTTAGGAGAGTGACGTTGGAGATTGGATGGGTAAGAAAAGGAATGGTTGAGGGATCCAATCTTGCGGCTCATCGTGGCTAAAACGATGGTTGTTATGAGAACGGAAATTAGTGATATGTGGCTGTTCTATGTTTTGTTCGTATTTGTCTTCTTTATTCGGTTGATGGGCTACTATATGAGTAACTGGACTTTGTGGGTAGCTATGACTTGTAGAGATGTGCTCTGTTACTGTTGTGCATCTATAGTTTTCTGGTACTAAATTAAATGGATGGTTATTATGTAAATTGTGTAATTGTGGTGCAGTAGGTGTTGTATTTCTGTTGTCTTGTGATTTATCTCATGCATTTGGTGTGGTTGATAGCTTTTTATTGAATTCACTTATTTGAGCGTATAGAAGAATTTTGTTAATTGAGGTCGAAAATATTCCAAAAAATCCTGCGAATAATATGCGTGATACGCTTGCTTGTTTGTTTACTTGTGTGTGTACTGCGCATGTGTTTTTAATTCCTTTCAATAATGAGAAGAGAAATCGAACAAAAATTTAAACCTTGCCTATGTAGATGCATCATCAGAAGATTTATTTATTTATTAGGCAACTCTTGCTATACCCAAAATAAAAAGTTTTCTGTTTTTTTTTGGTTATGCTTAAAAATTGTCGGCTTATATCTTTAAAGTGATTTTCTGTTTCTTAGTGGTTTTTTCTTGTTTACGTGTCCAGTAGCGGATTTAGAGGGGGCGGGGCGAGGGGCGGAAGTTCTCCCCTCAGGGATTCGACCCCCAGTCGACCCAAAGGGTCCCCCTTTGCACCATTTTGAGATCTCCATTTTTGGCTGACTGACCTTAAAATTTTTCTGAAGGCGCCTTTGGCGCCAATCTACACTAATTTTGATGGGGAGCGCGCGCCGAAAAAACGCGATTTTTAGATCTTTTTTTTCCAAAAAGTGACGAAAACGCTTTTTTGGCCTTTTTCAAAAAGTTGCCTCCGGCGCAGAAAATTTGGTCAAATTTGGGTCTTTATAGTGGTTTCGGAGAGCTCACAAAATTAATTTGGTTGACCTAAAAAAATCCGCCCCCTCGAGAAATTCCTAGATCCGCGCCTGTATGTGTCCATATTTTTAAAGTCATGGTTGATCACTTTCTTACTAGTTTGGATCAACTCCTGCGTATTTGATAAGCCTATTTTTGATATTTTTGTTTTTAAACGTCAATTTTAGCTGCACTAGTCTGATTTTTTTCTAAGTTTTTCTTGATATGATTTGATGTATTAGGGAAACATTTCATAAAGGCATTATTCGACAAATTGAGCCTTATTATTGATCTCTTGATTTGTTTGTAAACTCTTACTGATACATCAGCTTGTAAAGCCCAAATAATCCTGTTCAGATAATAATTTTTCAAATCAGCTTTAAAAGCAGATATCAATACAAAACGATACCAGTGGATTGGGAGAAAAAAGATTAGTTTAATCTGACCATCGTAAATTTTACCGGCTATTTCAAAAATTTGATTAAAATTTAGTTGTGATAATTTTTCGGGTTCTGTTTTAAAAGTTTTAACTACTTTTTAGTTTTCTGTTGCTTTTTTAGAAAAAAGTAAGTAATAAACAACGTAATAACCAATCAAAACCATAGCTAGAAAAAATTAATAAATCAGGTTTTTCGTTGTTTGCCCAGTCTTTAATTTATATTTAAGAAAAAATACTCATATCATACCCTTTTTTCAACAGAGACATTTTTTTTCACACTGATTCTTGAATCAAAAGAATTTAATGAGATATTTAATTACAGATCACTATTTGATATTCTTTAGCAGGAAGAAGCTTTTCAGTGCCTTACAAGCGAAAAGGTCGTAGCAAAAACAGACAACTTGAGTCAGTTGTTAAGACTTGAGTAACTCGTTGCAGGTCGATAAACTCTATATGATCGAACGAAAGATTAATTTTCTTTGAATTTCAGGAATTCTTTCTTACTCGTTTCGGCGAAACAGGATCAACAAATGCTGTGAAAAAAAGTAGGTAAAACGCATTTAAAATTCTTCATGAACTTGATTTCAACTTACACTGAGACCAAAAGTCACACGGCAAAGTTCAATATTTTTTTTTGAAAAAAAAATTTATACACTGTAAATAAGTGTTTTAGCTTGTTACCTGACTTCAAACAGAAATATATATAGAAACAGATTTAAGTTCAGTTCTACAGATTCATTTCCTTGAGATTGTTGCAATAATTTAACAGAGGCGAAGTGGAGCGTCGCAACACTTTTGATAATACACAAAAACATGCCCCTGCCCTCCGGAAATACAAAAGGATGAATGCGTCGTTTCAAACGACGACACAAAATTTAATCATTAAGCTGATAAAAGATAAGCAGAAACAATTGAGTCAAACAAAACTTACCTAAGAATATCTAAAATACAAAAAAAATCGGTAAGTTTAGAAATTACAGTAATAACACAGACCTGAAAATGCACTTTTAAAGCACAAGCAAAAAAACGAAAAAATCTTCTTTAAAGGGTCAAAAGAGAGATAAAACAAGAAAGTAGAAAAAAATTGATGACTTTTGAAAAACACATTACTTCTACGGAAAATACACCTCACTCCTCAAAAATGCAAGTTTTCTAGTAGTTGACTGCACTGCACAATTCTACCACTGACGCTCAGGGCAATCAATTACAAGTAACAAAGCGGCGAAAAAGAGCTTTAAAACGCACGAACACTTTGCATGTAATTTATCGGAAGAAAAAAATTTCAGACCACTACAAAAACTTTGCAATAATAATAAATTAGAAAAATAATGCCAAATTATGTCTAAAATGGCCATTGCAAAAATTTTGCGACACATACTGAGTTGGACTTTTGTACTGTTTTATGAAACAAATAGCTTTCTTCGGTTCGCCTGATGAATTCAAAATGCACCATTCAACTTATCTGTAATCAAATTTCCATATACATGCTTTTAACACAGAGGCAAAGCACACAACAAAAAGCAGCTCTATAAAGTGCAATAATTGCAGTATAATTGAGCCTCAAATTAATAAAACCTCGGCTTCCTCTCGGATTCGATCTGCTACTTAGAGATTATGAAACTCACGCACTAACAACTCTGCCACGGACGCTTTGTAGATTACAAACATTAGCCACAAACAAAACAGAGAACAGATGCTATGAAATTTCCAATGCTACAGATGTTTTTTGTAACACAAGTACCACCAAACAAGTGAACAGTTTATTAGCGAGTTCTGTTTAAAAACTTCATACTAAAACACTAACGCTCGCAAGTTCGCTAGTGTAAATAACTAATTCAGCCTCTTGGTGTAAAAATGCCACCAAAAGTTTATTAGAGGCTTTACGACCCTATTGGTAAAAAAGCCGCTTAGTAGTATCACACTACACTGCGTTGTGTAAATAAAAAACAATATCAACTACACGGCAAATTACTTGCAGCACAAAAAATTTCGTGACGTGGCAATTAAGCCAACGAAACATTAGCAAGCTAACAATTGATCTAAAAATTATTAAACGAAATATTTACTGTTTGAAAAACTACTGGTCCAATTTATTATCAACGCTAGGGCCTTGTCCGTCACAGGCGTAGTCATTACTTCAGACCAAGTATGCTCCGCAGAACCTCCAGGCCAAGAGTGCCGACTAAATTATCTTAGCAAACTGTTACTGCGAAAAAAGTCTATTTCGAATTGATAACACATACAAATCGCAAGCGTAATTGCGAAAAAATTACCAGAATGTTTTGCCAAAAGTCACGACACAGCAACTTACCGATTTTGAATAACTTTGGCTCAACTTCTCGCATGGAATATGCTGACGATAGCAACAAAGTGACTACTATTATTATATAATGCAACGGCAGAGCCATTCTAGACGAAGACGACGACAGGTCTGCGTTGTTTCCGAATCAACGTTTAAAATAAGTTTTTGAACAAGAAGATCACCTGCCGTCTTTAGTATGACGAACTTCATAGTTTGACTGATATTTGAAATATCATTGCTAGTCGTATGTGGAGGGAGGCTGACTGATTGTTCAGCTGAGGATGGCTATAATTTATTAATTGTTTTCGAAGGATAAAATGTGCGCAATAAGAAATGGAAAGAGCTGGGAAGCATCTGACTGGCTCACAATTGGCAATCGTTGAGAGCCAACTGGACTTAGCGCGGTTGTTTCCCCTTCAACCTAAACACTCTCCTTCCAATCGAGTTCTTCCAGCCACTATTTCCATGTTTGTGCACTTCTATTAACTAACTGGCAGCCAAGTTGACTTTAATCAATCGGTCAATCAAGTTGAGCCAATTTTAACCTCAAGTTGCGTCACACATTTTTTGCATTCAGACCAACAATTCAGAGCTCTGTGCTACTTGGCGGACAAGTGGCCAGAAGTTCCAGCTAAATAAAGTCAAATTTGGGATGAATACCTTTTCAACCTGAACTAAAAAGAGAAAGAATACGCTTTAAAACTAAATTTCATAATGCAAACTCTAATACTGTACATACCACTAGAAAATTAACCATAATCAATAACAACGATGCTAGCTCGATAAAATCAGAATGATAAAAAAACGTTTCGAAAACAAGGAAGCTAAAACAAGTTTTATGTTCATTAAGTTTTAAAGTTGTTTGAGGATCTGATTATATTCACTGAATATCTTTTGATTCTTAACGTTTTTAGCTACGATGTCTAATGCCTCATGCAGTAACTGTCTTCTATTTAGGCCGAGTCTTTCAATGGGATCACGTGACGACTCGACCTGGGAGCTTGTCATAAAGCATGCCGCCACAGAAGGTAGTCCAACATTGTCTAACAGTTCGTCCAGTTTGGCCCTCAGAGCATCCTCGTTGCCAATCCAACTCAGCTCAGAGATCACCCCTAGCAGCCACTTCTTAACATCGGGTCCAGATGCAATATTCATTGCCAGCTTCTGCTGGATATCACTGTACTGCCATGTGGAGTAGTGTACCATATTCTCCACAGCGCTGCATGTACCAGGATCATTTCTTCGAGTTCGGTCAACTGCCTCCGCTAGGCTGTTGTCTTTCATTCTGTTATCTGAGCACAGATCCTCTAGCAGCGACATTACTCCCGTCTGCGTATGACTGCTGCTGCTACCAGATGAACCACCAACGGCTGGAGTTTGGGACGTAGTGCCACGTTTAGCCAGGCTCCAACGTGGTGGCTGAGCCAGCACCCACCCGTTGAAACCAGCGTGGAACATGTATGCTTTATGGGCTGTGGTAACGATGAAGGGTGTACCATTTTCAGAGAAGAAAGCTAGCTTTAATTTGACATCAGCCGCTCTAAATAGATTTGTCAGTTGATAGTTCCACAAAACAGACTTCATTCGTCTCATGTCAAACACACTCACTGTCACTTCGCATGTCAGTACCATCACCATGTGTCCCTTGCATTTCAACTGGGCAATGCTTGCATCTACCACAAATGGCATTTCAAGTATATTCCCATTGTGATCATACACATGAACAGTATCGTCCGCACACGCAACCACAACCAACTCTTCGCTCACACATGCACACACTATTGGATCCGTTAGACATTTTGTGAATTTATCAGTTTCTTCGTTCGTCGAGTACTTGAAATTAAGCATGTGCATAGAAGGGGCCATAGGTCCAATTGATACATTGTTCGTGACGGTAACTTCAAAATGAGAATGGTTAACTGTGAATGCGTCCAGCACTTTTGCAGGATCAATCACTTCAACGGGACTGTAAACTTCATCATCTGAGCAGTCTTTGTCTTCGGCGTCTATATCTGAAGCATCTCCATCTCCATACATTCTGGACCCATACATTTCATTCGGTCTCATTCTGGATGCAGTTAGCCCTGATTCGTCATCGTCATCTTCTAGTATCACTCTCCTTTTCTTCTTCTTCGCACCCTGGCTTTGGAACAGAGTGGTTGCTCCTTTGCTGTTGGACATCTTCAGAGCATTCTGTTTCAGTTTTTTAGCTTTGGTCATTTTAGCAGATTTCACTGAAGAATCAACGTCTGTCAGTGGAGATTTGGCTTGATAAATTGCGGATATTCCTTTATCTGGCACTGCACTTGGTTTATCAGCAGCAACCGTCGAGCTATCAGGACTGACATTTGCCCGAATTACATTCGATGAAAGCACTTGTGCTTCACTTGCAGTTGTGTGGACAGCAGGATCTAAGCTTTCCATCGCCAATGTTGTGGACCCTGTATTTTGATCTTTGTTTTTCACGTCACTCTGAAGACTTCGAAATGATCCGAGCTTTAAATCTTGAACAGATATCTGTTTCTGTGCTCTCTGTTCTGGTGATATTGGCGACGATTCGGGTGAAGTTGTACTGGTCACGACACTGCTATTGCCCTCTCGTATCTGAACATTCTCCTGAGTATCATCATCTCGCTTCAAATTCTCCTGTCTGCCTCTGAAAGGAACTGGCATCACAACTGCGTCTTCATTGGAGTCCGGCTGCTGGAGTCCAATGCACACTGGAACAATCCTTCTGCGTCCATCTTTGCTGATCAACTCTTTCTGAGTAGTAGATATTACAGCCGATGAAGTCATGTTGGCATGCTTGAACACTTTTTTAGGGGTTGGTTTCTCGGGAGATGAGGAAACATTTTCCTTTTCGTTTAGTTCAGCTTCTTTGACTAAATAAGGAAACATATCCGGGTCCGAGACCAGAATAGAAGGTGCGCTTGTTTCATTCATATCTTCCCCATGAAGTCGCTGCAGCACTGTTGTCTGTTCGTGTTGTGTCAGCAGCCTTCCTATTTCCGAATCTCGAAACAATACAAACTTTATCTTTCCTGTGATAGAACATGCCGCAAGCTCAATCGAGTTAGTAGCCCAGGAGAGATCCACAACTTCGTCGTCTAGTAATTCATGTAGAGCAAGAAATGCTTTTGGCCTGGATGAGAGCCAAAAAGATACAGCTCGATCTTTGCTTGCGATAGCCAGCAGACAAGTTACTTCGTTCGTCTCCTTCACTCGAACCATTCGGGGGTGAAAGCGGACACAAGTGATGGCTCGACGATGACCAACAAAATCCATTCTCGGCACGAACTTCCTGGCTCTGCTGCAGATGACTGCCACTGGACCCTCTCCATTCACGGCATGAGAAGACACCAGCATTTGCGCGTCCGGGGACCAGTCACATCTAAATCAATGCACAGTTTTCAAACCAGAATGTTCCATAAATTGGGATAATAATTTTATTTTCAAGCCAAAACTTCTAACCATATTCTATGAAATTGTAAGTTTACAATATAGCTAGGCTTGGGAGAATACCAATAAGGCATCAATCTGTCGAATGGCATCTCCATGAGCAAAATCTATTCTTCTACTTTTTTATTTTTAAACTTAGATCATATAGACAAAAGGACCGCAAAAATTCTTCAAATATCAAAAAGTAAAAAAAATAACTAAAAAATAACGCAAAAAAAAACTTTTTAGGCGTTGTCTAACAATCAAAATAAGATGACCAAAAAAACTATAACAAAGGGATGGAAATTTACCATAAAAAAGTTGTATTGGTTTATATATTTTTAAGCATCAGATATCAATGAAGAGATCCCGATTATTTTTGAGTAGTTGGGCTTAAATAGTTTATCCCATCCACCCTTGTGAATGACTATTGGGCTAGATTGACGATAAATGATATCTGACTTACCCGAACTAAAATAGTCTGTACCTGAGATAATGAGTGGTAAATTCTTTGGTGAATGGTTTGAATACCATACACTCTTCAGCCCAGTCGGCCGTTCTCCATACTCGCATCGTTCTATCGTCACTCTGGGAGGCAAGGAATTTTCCCAGGGGGTCCCAGCACAGTCCCTTCACCAAGTTCGAGTGTCCAGAAAGGGTGCGAAATAGTTCTGGCAGACGTTTCCCGTTCCAGATCATTATGCTGTTATCCACACTGCAGCTTGCGAGGTATCTGAAACATCCAAAAATGCATCGAAACTTAGCAAACGTAAACAGAAAGCTAGCAAACCTATACAAAGGAAAATTGTACCAGCATCGCATTTTGAAAATTAGTGTTAAAGTCAGACTCGCCCATGCATACCTGTCAGCAGGACTCCACCTGAGATCGAACACATTTCCCCTGTGGCCCTTCATATCATGCAGGGGCTTCCAATTCTCCACATTGGCCACCCTGGCCCCGAACGACGAGTCCTCCGCAGTGGTGCGGGAGTAGCACCACACGACCACGTGCTCATCCTCCGCTGCAAAGGCAACACAACATATCAATAGTCAAGCAAGATTCAACTCGAGTACTGGGGAGAAGAAACCCTTTGAGGAGCTATTTTGCATCAGAATGGTCTGTAACCATTGTCGAAGGAAATGCTTAAGTCGAATTCAAATGAAGAAAAATATAAGTAGCGTCGTTTTTTGGATCTGATTAATGTACCTCAAACAAAACTGATACGGTGTCCAGCAACGTACCTGAAGCAAGCAAGTGTCCCGCCCCACTCCATCTGACACAGTTGATGCTGACATGGGGCACCTCCTTCTCACACAAAACCCATGGCTGCTGCTGCTGATCCAAAATCTCTTCTGGTGAGGGCCAGCAATTAGGGGGGTTTCTCACTGGCTCCATGTTCCAAAAGGTCAGTCTGGCAGGATTTACACTGTCTCCGTTCACCGCAGACACGAACCTAGACATTAAATTACTTAAAAATGAATCAAACTATCATTCAGTTATACTCAGTTAAAACTTTGCCAATCCTAAAATTGATTCAAGGACAAGCGAACCAAACACAAAATAAATTAAGATGTTGAGATGGCCAGTTCTACTCAAGCGGGTACTAGGCACATTTGATAAGATACATGCGCTCTTTCCATTCATAGACTTCCAAATCTCCTTCCGAAAAAAACATAGCCCATCGCCTTGCAATGATTTTGGTACTTTAGGGATTACTTTCAATGATTACCAGTCGACGCTATACTAGGAAAGAGTCTATAAAAGACTCTCTCTGTTTAAAAGAGCACTTAGTTCTTAGCACCCATGCTCTGCCACAACTTCAATTCCAGTCCCATTATTGCAAGCTATCCTTATTTTTGTGGTCACTTACTGTGTAGGTAACCCTATTAGTCATTCTTCTATAGTGAGAATGAATTCAATTATTTGACCTGCTTCCATCAGGGTGTATGTCGATGGAGCTGATAGTAGAGGGTTCACTGCACATCTGCCGTGGGAACTGCACTCGAACCATCTTCCCCTATCTACCCTACACTTTCTGTCTTAGTTTCCCTTGTTCCTTTTCCTACTTCGGTTCTCCGCACACAGTAATGAGCTGATGTCGAGATTGCAGTTGACCACGATGAAGACAGAGAGATCGTAGCTGGCACATACATTCAATAACGCCCCACTCTATAATTTGTAATTCTGATCTCAGCCATTGAAATATCTTAAACGATAATCCGCTCATCGAATAACCAGGCAGCAGAGGAGTTGGAATTGTCTCATTAATATACTAAACTGCCTGAGTTTCTTTTAAAAGATCCGAAATTAATTTATCGAGGCTTTTTGATTGATTTTACACAATTCTGATAAACTATTTGAAATCAGCTGGACAATCCCCGCCCGCACCCGTGTAGACACTCCAGCAAGGCATGTATTAAAATTGAAAATTACAGAATATGCATTTCAACAAGCGCTCACAATATTTTCATTTGGAAATCTCTCCAATTGAAGATCCATTCAACTGTGTGTGAATCAATTAAATTATCCTTTTAAATTAATTATTTGTCCATAAAACATTGCTAGCTGGATCAGATCGCTCCCCATAGCTCGTATTGTTGAAAAAACTTCGACTTTCGGGAATAGCCACAATTCACCCATTGTCTGCAGTTTTTGGTGAAATGTGATTTAGTTTTTAAATAATTGTTTTCAGATAAAATCATAATTTCAAACAATTCAAGACATAACGCTTCATTTATTGCTTCTTTGTGACTAAAAGGAAAATGCAACGACACATGTGCAGACAAGGATAGCCACTTATGCGCAAGTAGCACAGAATGCTCCGACCGTAGTCTTAAAAAAATACTTAAAGTTTGTTCAAATTAGTGTCGTTCTTTTGTGCGATGTATGATGAAAATGATCAGACAAAAGCCTAGTCTTAGGCATATTCGACAGTTATAGTAAAATAGGGAGATTGAACAACACCTTTTGTGGCAAAAACACAATAAAATATTTTTTAAATCGAAAATTTGCAAATTTTTTGAATTTTTGATACCCTAAATGACGCTAAAAAAATCCAAAAACTAAATTTTACTCGAGTAAACACAAACATTCACGGCTTAAATTAAGAATGGAAAAGCTATTGTAAGCCTGCTCGTTTACTTCAAGCGCTCGATTTTAGACTTATTATTTAAAAAATTAAACCCGTTTTATGTGTCGTTCAAATCAGTGTGGATGCCAAACAAAATTTAAAAAAAAAGACACCCGAATACAAAACTCCTCCCTATCTTCAATAGTCGGAACAAAACTTGCAGCAAAACTCCTGGAACTGCTAATTATACAAAAACGCAATTAGCTTTCAAATACAGAACATAGCTAACAGAAATTTGGAAAAGAGGCGAGTGATCAGAAAAAAATGGAGTATTTTTTTTGCAAAAATCACAACTTTCGAATTTCCGAGAAAAAAATATTAGTTTTAAAGCTCTTTGAATTTCTAGAACAATTTATGATTGACTCTTTTTTGGCAAACTTAAACCGATTTGAGAACATTGCATCATTATGAGCTGAACCTAAATTTCCCATCTCTAATTTTGACCATTATGAGAACAAAGTTATTTACGGGAAAAAAATAGGTCTAGTACCACATTGCAATACCCTTGCTTATCACAAAGGTAATAAAACTAACCCATAGAAAAGTGTCGTCATTTCGTTTATTGACCTTTAATCGTGAACATAAATCTTATTTTTAGTAAATATGTATATTCAACTCAGTTCAAACTTTGTTCTCGGGTTGGCGAAAAAAACATATGAAAAATTCTATTACTAACAATTGCAATACAGAGGAAAATTAGTTAAGAACTATAGCACAAATCCAGCATCTCGTTAGATTTAAAAGGTATTTGGAAATAAATAAGAGATTGCGAAAATCGATAATTTACAACATGGAAAATATTTGAAGCTTTGAGCAGCTCGGAAGGAAGGCGATCAGGCAACATGTTATACATTACAAGCATCTTCTGACATGCCAAAGATTTGAATTTATAAAATATAGACAGTGCCAAATTGTTGACAAATCGGCTATCCTAATGGCCGAATTTTATCAGACGAAGGAACTGACGCATCCAATTAGATCTTTTAACAATTAGATCTTTTAACAGAAATACACATTTTTTCAGACTTTAAACACATTGAAGCTAGCAAAACAATGACTGACACATCATGCAGCTCTATTGGCCAAAAAAGAACATCAACAATTTGGTGCTTACTATAAAACACTTGCAATTTTTTTTTAAAAAGTGTTAGTTATATTAAGTGCAGACGAGAGCTTAGATGTGAACTAAGAATGCCAGTATATGCCTAGTCAGTTAGCTTCTCTTTCATCACATTTTCATCCTCATTAGGCATTATTTTCAGCTTAAAGCAAAAATATGTACTTTCACTTGTAATCAGCATTAAATCTTCAGTTAAAATTGAGGTTCCTTCCATAATGCGCAAAGTGGTCTCCAAATTTTGAGAAAACTTGGCATATTTCTTATCAATTCAATGGAAACGACAAAAGAGAACATAACAATTGAAAGCCATGTACAATGAAGTTTTCAAATTGAAAAATAAAATTAAAACCTCAAGAGTAAAAGATTTTGAAACATAGCCCATAGAAAAATGGAAAAGTGTCAAGGAACTCAAGGCAACCGAAAAAATTTGGATTTTAACAAAAATGTTCAATTTTCTAATTTCGACAAAAAATGCTTCAAGTAAAACTCATTGAATTTCAAGAATCTTCTCTATTGTTGGAAACAATTTTCTTCCGTTGAGAAACTGAATTTGAATTGAATCAAATATCAAAAAGAAAATAAAAAACTCGGTTCATTGACACTTAATTCAAATAAGTTGACAAATCCTCACAAAGTACATCTTATATGATTTTGAGACGCAAATACGCGATCTGCTAAGTCTGTATCCATTTGAATTTTATGTGCAAAATCTAGCTTCTTGAGCCATTGTTCTAATTTCTATTTTGTGTACTTTGTATTGTCTCTAAATTTCTATCTACACTAAAGATCCAGGTGATGGATCTTGAGAAGGCGATGGAAGTGGGGACTGGTTCCAGGGAGAAGAAGAGCCCAAGAGATGAAGAGACGAGACTCTGCTGGATGGACTGCTGCTCACTCCTCCTCCCGAGATTCTCGTCAACTCACTAGTGGGACTCTATAAAAAAACATATAAATCTCTTATTCAAAACACTTTACCATTCCAATTTCACTGCATTAAGGCGAACTTTTTTTGATTGGGACATTATTGAAACGACAAAAATTAAATCATTTATCAATATGCCACTTAAATTTAAACTATCGACACAATTTAGAGGCAAGGAAGCAATACATGAACGGAATACTTCGCTCAAGAAACTTTTAAAACCAAAACGGTTGCCGACACAAGCCGAGCGCTTTTTGTGGCGGTCGCTTACTGGGTCGTTGCTGATGTTGCTAGAATAGTAGTTGTTGTTGCTGCTGCCGGGTCTGCTATGTCCCTTGCTGTGTTGGAGCGAGTTAAGGAGGCGTGGTGAGTTGGTGGCTCCTTTGAGGAGAGTGTCTGTACGTGGGTGGTGTGGGGGGAATATTAGGGGCAGGTGGGTGAGGGTGAAGAGCATGATGGAGTTGGTGGTGGCAACACTGGCTGCCATTGAGATGTGGTCCGGGGGGAAGATGAGGTTGGGTCCGAACACTATGGCTACATTGGTGCTGTCCATCTTGTTCATGTGCTGTCTCTCCACAACACTAAACATCACACCGCCAACATAAACCAAACTCTCATTGGTTCAACCCTGCATGTAGGAACCATCTGAAAAGATAATACTAAGTCCCAGCACGTCTTTGGCTTCTAGCATCATCTTAACAAAGTTCCATCAGATAATTGCATGTACCCATCTCTTATGAAAAAATTATTACAATTGTAAGAAATGTAATGTGGTTCCTGCGAATCGCAGAGGAGCTATCAGTAGGCTTCAACAGTCCTGTTGAGGATAGTCCATTTTTATTATCTCCCCACATTCCAGACCGTGTTATTTTGTTGAGCAAGCTCTTTTTTTTGCGACTCAAGGCCGTTTTTTTTGCGTCTAGAATTTTCACGTGGTACCACTATTGCAGCCGAAATTGGTCAGGCTGTGGTAGACCTGAACTTAGAGCAGGGATTCGACCCTCTCACTTCCCAAATGGTTCCCGCTTTGGTACTATTTTATGGCATCTATGCTCGGCCAACTGATTCTTATAATTTTCTGAGGCTTCAATTATTATTTAAATCGAAGGGTGAACGCGGGCCAAAAAAACTTTTATCTTTCGGTCAAAACCTTTCAAAAACTGACCAAAATTGGCTGTTAAGGTCTTTTTCACAGTTTTGTCTGCGGCACAGCAAATTTTGGCAAACTAAGGTTTTGGGAGAGCTCAGAAAATCAATTTGGTTGGCCTAAAAAAAAGTCTACAAAATTGTCGAAAGTCCGTTACCCCCGCCCTTTAGAAAATCCCATGTAGATCCACCCACTGCTTTCAGCAAAACTAAATTTTGCAACCAAATTAAGCGTTTTAAATGCATTAACTCATTGAGACTTACAGTGATAGATGTGTGAACAGGTGTAGGAGGGTAGCCTGATGTGTGAAGGAGAAGGTCTGTATGATTCCACGCACTGTATCAATCAACTCATCCGTTTCCTTCCCACTCGCTGAAACAACGAAAAGACCGTTGTGCACGATAGGTAGATAATAGAAAACGATTTTAAAAAAACCTGTGTTCACTTCAGTTTCAGGTATTAAAATAGACAATATCCTCAGAATATCAGATAGCTATAAAAACCGCTAATTTCAATCCTTTTTAAGAGTGGTTAGCTCCATATCCACCTACACTATATATTTTCCACAGCGAAACAAACACAAATCAGAAAGACAAAATCTGTGAATATTGTCGAATACGCCAGTTCTTGGGACTGCTACTAACTGAATGCTTGAGCGAGGGTGGTGTAGGACCCAGATGGGAATAGAGACTCGGGCAATTCCCGAAAGTACATCTTCAGAGCACCTGTGATCACATGGATGTCCTGCACTTGGGACAGACTGTAGCTAGAGTCTTAACACATCACTAAGCCATTAACACAAACAACATTACAAATCTTTTGTATTCTATTTGACTGTTTTTCCCATCGTTGAATGTTTGATAAGGTTTTCCAACTGATATTTCGGAGCTTTCATATTCATAAATTGAAATTCTATTAAATTACAGTATATAATCTGATTATAGTTGGCACTCACTCTTGTCGACTTCGAAGCGCAGCTTCTGTATCTCAGCCATGTTCCCACATAGTCTGTAGATGCCCTCAATGTCCACTCCTCTCCTCTCCACCTCGCGAGTGCCATTGATCACAAACTCAGGCACCATTCGCTTCTCACTCTCGCTGCGCACCTCCAGCAGACAGCCAAATACAGGAGCTAAATCAAGGCTTCATCATCAATAGAGCATAACTTAGTCAAAATCCGATGGTTCAATAACAGATCAGGAAGCATCAGGGCCAGTCAAATCGAGAATTATTCAATAAGCAAAAACAATTAGATGCTATCTTTAATAGATGATTACTGCAAACAAAGAAAACGAAGCCCCGGTATAAAAGACTGATTCATAACAGTAGTAGATGTTGAAGGTTAAGTGGGGGGAGGGGGAGGGAGGTGGTAGACGCCCATGTATTAAGATAGGGAATAGAGCATCAGATCTATCAGCTATGTATTAAGATTGGGTATAGAGTTTACAAGTATTAGGATAAGGAATACCGATGGTAAGATTTTATGGTTTGTGTGATGGTAAGATAATGGTAAGAAAAACGTATTTTTTTGGTTTTTGTGTGGAAATGTCTAGTTTTTTCGCAAAATTTTCGGCGACCGTTATCTAACTGTTAAATAACACTGGTTAATTACGTGGAGATTGTGGACTGAAGGTCTTTTAAATAGTATTTTGGTACATGGTAAGTCAATGGTAAAAGTTTTTGTGTAAAAACTTGGAGTTTTTTCACAAAATTGAAAAATTATTCAAAAATTTCCAAAACACGATAAGATTTGTTATAATTTGATCTAATAAAAACTTATTAGAAACTTATACTTTCTATCTATCTGAATCTATTCTGAAACCTACTGAAACTTGGAAAAAAAATTGCAGCAATCTCATAATTTTGGCTAATGTATTGTTGCTTCTGATCTAATTTTAAACATACTTTTACGTATAGATTTTAAAAGTGAGCTCAGACTGTATTTTAATTGGCATCATGTTGAGACAATGATGCAAAATTTTGAATAAAAAAATGAATTTTTCCACAGTTTTTTCTCAAAATATTGAGATAGGATAAAATTAACCTTAATATGAGCTAAAAAGCGGGTTATATAATGCCCTAAACACTAAAAAGAAAGCTCATAATAGCAGAATCAAAATTGAAACTTCCGGAAAATAGTGAAATTAATCGTAATTTTTGAGAAAGTATAGTAAAAAATAATCGAATCTATCCAAAATTTCCATTTTCAACCTTTTTTGTTGATTAACTAATTTTTTATCCAGTTCAGAGAGAATTGAAATAGGATTCTCAATTCAAATGAACACTAAGGCAAAATTCTACGAAATTTCTAGATCAGAGTCCATGATTTAACTCCTCCTCAGTTTTTTCTCAATGATTAACCTAAATTTGTACAAAAATTACATCTGAGAAATTTTTCACGTTAATAATAATGAATTTTAGATCAATGATAAAAAATGAACAGTTAATTGCTAAAATTGATTAAAAATGGGATAAATTTTTCTTGAAATTTAATTCGATATTGGCTCAAACTCAACAAAATCTTCTTCATAACTGATGAAGAAGCTCTGTTGCTTCTGCAACATAATTTTTATGATTTTCCGTAGAAATGTTCTATGTTTAAAGCTTATTCTTGCTTTCTGCTGAAGGTATGTTTTCGCTATTGAACACACTTTGCAAGAAAATTTAGTCAGAACTGGAGAATTTAGGAGGAAAATAGAATCAATTGAAAGAACAATTTGCTGGCAGAGATGAAATTAGAACTGATACCGTCTAAGTATATTGGTAAAAATTGTAAATGTCTTCCTCAAGATTCCCTTATTTAGTTGCTACAGTAAAATATTTAAGCAAAAATAAAATTTTTGGAATCAATAACTATCGCTTCTCTTGAAAAAAAGTTATTTTTTCATGATTTTCCGTAGAAATGTTCTATGTTTTAAGGTTATCTTGCTTTCTGCATGTTTTCGTTATTGAACACACTTTGCAAGAAAATTAAGTCAGAACTGGAGAAATTAGGAGGAAAAAAGTATCAATCAACTAACAATTTGCTGGCAGCCATGAAATTAGAACTGATACCGTCTGATTATTTTGATAAAAATTGTAAATGTCTTCCTCAAGGTTCCCTTGTTCAGTTGCTACAGTAAGCTATTAAGCAAAAATATAACTTTTGGGATCAATAACTATAACTTTTCTGGCAAAATAGTTATTAATAAACGTTTTTTATTCTCAATTTATAACGGAAATTTTCTCAAAATTACCCAAGTGAGAAAAAATCGGTGCTAGTTAAAGCATTCAAAAACATATGTAAAAAAATGAGAATATAAAGGTGTATTTCTACGATTTAAGAACAAATTAGGGGCAGCTCTATTAGTTATAGTATGAAAATCTCCAGAAATACGCAAGGGAACCTAGTTCCTCACATCTACAATATCTAAAAACTTCTAAAAGAGCGCGTCTCAAAAAATTGATTTAGCAAAGCAAATCAAGGTGCAAACTGGAACAATTGTGTAATTTTCCGATTTTTATTAAGAAAAAAACTCAATGTATTTAAAAAAGTAAAAATGTAGAAATGTATTGCAGATAGTGTTGTATATTATATGTAGTATTGTGTATGTATGTAGTATTGTGTATTGTATATAGCAAGGAAATGTAGATCTTGAAAGCAAGTTTTTGATTCATGTTCCATGTATCTACTTCCAAAAGATGTTGGATTGGGTTTACTTTAAAAAAATTATCCTCAAAACATCTGATTTTTCATATAAATTTACCTATTATATCAAAGAAATTTCTAATGAATTACACATAAAAACAAATCTTCGACACTTTTTATGTCGGATTTTTTTCAAGATATACTTTATAAGCTAAATTTTAGTAAAATTATCTCAAAACTCCTACTGAATTAAATTGAGTTTCTATCTCATTTTAGCTTTTTCTTAGTTTCTCCTTTATCTACTATCTACCAAATTAATCCAATTTGAACAAAACTTTATTTGAAAATTGAATTATAGATGGAAAAATGTATCGTTTCAGCGAACGTTCAATAATCCGAAGCTGAATTAATGCCATAAATCCTTTGCTTAAAGTTTTTAAATGATTTTCTCAACCTGATAATTTTATATTGCTGTTTCAAATCTGATTTTCTACAATGAAGTAAATTTTTTCTTTGAGAATGATGTATATTATTATCTTGAAACTTTCAAAGGCTAGCACAAACATACAATTTTTCATCTTTTCCAGGGCAGTTATCAATTTCTGTTCTGAAATCGTCAAACAACAGTAGAAAACTATAACTCATAATAAATCAACCCCCAATATCTGCACTTAATAGCGCACTACTATATGAACTTTTTTACAATCACTAAACAGGGTTAACTTTAAAATGGCAACTAGGCAAAACCTTTCAATTAGTCGATGTTTCACAAATATCCAGTTTTTTCTACAGTTTTTAAACAAATACTTAACCACTCATTAGCGTAAGTTATGCACTTTTACTACAAATTTATCGCAACCAAGTCTCCGCAAGCTTGCAGGCAATGGAGTTTTTACTGTTGATTAAAGATTTTGGGATCGATTTCCATAGAAAGTTTCACGACAACTTGAACTCGATTTTTGCTGTCTGTATTGTCATTCAAAACCTTTGATCAAAAAAATAACAGATCAAGAATTGTGTTAAAAAAACTGCATAATTTTTACTAGATTTTTTCAAATTCATCAATTGTATTCCAGACTCAGTAAAATTTAAAATTCATAGTAATTTCTATGTTTTTAATAAAAATTATTAATTTTACCTTTTCTTGAAGTGTGTTTGGAGACTGCTGAGCACATAACTTAACATTATGCTGGCAATGCTTCTTGTTGAAATGATTAGTGAGTTCCTGGCTGCTATAAGTATAAAAGTTACAATTCAAACACTTCAAAACACCACAGGTTCTACGATGTCTTGATGAATCTTTGTGAGTGTAATCACTGCCACATTCAAGACATGCAATTCTTTGCTTTCTATTCAGTGACGGCATCTCACGAAAAAATTTGAGAACAAATGAGAGATATAGAAGGTCCTGATATTTTAGATAAGAAGTGTTGAATAGCCTCAAAAAATGAATAAAAATAAGAAAAAACTGCAAATTTTTCAACCAATTGTTTTTAACGTGAAAGAAATCAGAATCGATAACATTCTATTTGGTTATGTTGAAAAAATCAACCAATCTAACCATGGAGTTTCAAAAGTATCAACCAATCAGAATCGAGCATTTCTTTAAAAGAAAGTTTGATCTTTTTTGATATCAACTAATCAGAGTCGAGCATTATTTATTAGGAAATTTTTATCTTTTTGATATCAACCAATCAGAATCGAGCTTCAATAGTCATGTAATTTTCAACAAATTCAATGTCAACCTATCAGAATTGAGTTCTTCTTCTCATGAATTTTTCAACGATTTCGTTAAAATTTGTAGATTTCGAGGATACTTTCACAGACATTATTTGTGTGAACAACCAATCAGAATGAAGTAACCACAGATTTTAAAAAACTTTGTAGATCGGAACCAGGCTATGTTATGAAACTTCTTAATCAATCAATTTCATTGAATTTTTCCAACATAACTAAGATTTGAAGTTTGATACCTTAGTGGGATAAATGAGATTTCTTGTCTAGTTGATATTGTTTTTTCGATATTGAATTCAAATTTTGAAATTTCGCTCAAAATTTTTCCGATTTGTTCAATTTCTAACCAGTGAAAAAAGAAATTACCAAAATATACGTTTTTATCGTTTTCTTTTTGGTATATTGTAGTATAAACAACAGGAAGTCTATTAAATTTGGATAAACGATCAAAAGATATTCTGACAAATTTGGATTTTGCATTTGTATCAAACCCAAAACAGTAATCGAATTGATGTTCCTTATCTCCAAATTTTGTTTCATAGGCTCTTCCGTTGTTTTTTTTTGACTGATAGACCACTGAATCTGACTTAACTCTTCTAGATAGAAACATTGTTGATAAATCTGGCAGTACTCTTCTTTTTTGTAATCTCCTCTCCATCTTTTTAACAAATTTATGAACTTTCTGTGTTTCTATACAAATTAAAACTAATACAATCTCCATCAACGTCATCTGTCCACCACTCTTGTAGTTTTTTGTAGTAGTTCAATTT